ACTCCTGGGCTCAAGCGAGTCTCCTGCCTCAGCCTCCCAAGTAGCTGGGACCACAGGTGCCCGCCACAACACCCGGCTATTTTTAGGTTGCAGCCGTCATTGTTGTTTGGCGGGTCCAGGCTGGACTCGAACCTGCCACCTTAGGTGTATGTGGCTGGTGCCTTAGCCGGTTGAGCTACAGGCGCCAAGCCAAGAGACCCCGTCTTTACTAAAAATACAAAAATGCACTGGGTGTTGTGGCAAGGGTGACTATTGTCCCAGCTACTTGAGTGGTTGAGACAAGAAGATCACTTGAGCCTGAGAGTTTGAGGTTGCTGTGAGCAATGATGATACCATGGCACTCTACCCAAAGTGACAGAGTGAGACTCTGTCTCAAAAAAAAAGAAAAGAAAAAAGAGTAGATTGAGCACCTTGAAACTCTGGACAGGACGCTGGTATGTGGGAACCGGTGACCTGATCAGCCTTCCCCAGGATGTGGCCTCACTTCCCCCGAAGTTAAAAGGGAACCACCAACGAGATGTTGCTAGTCTTGTGAGTTGGAACCTGACTGGGCACTGGCATGTCATAGCAGAGGGTCTTTCAGTACACACAACGCGAGGTGGGCTTCTGACCTCCCCTGGAGGAACTGACACTCCAGCCTCCATACTTCTCTGTCCTCACACCTTAGCCATAGCCCCTGGCACAGTGACACCAGTTTGTCTCCCTTCATCCATACTGGGTACAAAGCAGACACCCAATGTGCATAGGTTAAAGGAAGGAACATACTGTTCTGGGCTTAGCTTCTCTAAGTAGGTATTCATTCAGATGATCAGGCCCATGCAAGGAATACAGGAGAAGGCACTGTTAATGCTGCCTGGAGAAGTCAGAGAAGGCCCCAGGGGCAAATACTGGAGAAGAGTCTTAAAGGATCTTCCAGCACAAGTTTGGCACTTAGGGAAGAAATGAAAAGGCTTTCCAGTCAGGAAACAGCCTTGCTAAAATCACAGGGAAGTGAAAGAACATGGCATTTTTGGCCAAGACAGGGAGCTTGGTGTGGGTGGAGTACAGGTGTGTGACAGGGAGTGGCATGAGGTCAGGGTGGAAGGGCGGGCCAGTCGTGAAAGTCTCAAAAATCTCTGTGTGCCATTAAGAGGTTTTGTTCTGAAGCCTCCTGAGGCTTCAGGCATCAGAGTGAGGACTCAAGAGGGGAGAAGTCGAGTGCAGTTAGGAGGCTGCAGGCCTGGCAATGGCAGGGCCGAGGGGTGGAGGATGCTCAGGCTGGCCTCACCTCCTGACCCATACTCCCGCAAACCTTCCCCACTTGTACACGGTTAACTGCTGTGTGTCTTTGGGGGAGTCAGTTTACCTCTCTGAGTTTTAATAGCTTCACCTTTAAGATAAGAGGGTTTTACTAGATAATTTCTCTACTACTTTGAACTGGAAGTTTCAAAACCATCATTAGCCATAGATATACTCTGGTGCTTGGAGTGACCAGTGCCCTTCCCTAGGCCTTTGTCCCTGCTGGACAATGGAGAGAGTGGGCAGAGGGTGGTGCCAACATACTGAAGCTCCACATCCCTGCCAGATACAAAGTCTCCAGTGCAATCCTGGAGAGAAAGAAGGTGCCCACTGGCCCCTCAGAGCCCCCCACCTATACCCCAGCGTGGGGGAAGTGTGATGTGGGAGCTTAAGGGCCTAGACCCCAGGGGTGGTAGAGTTCTCTTCTTGCACTCCCACCTGCCTGCCGGTCCTGCAGCATCTCAGGCTTCTGCTGCCCTCTCAGAGTGTGCAGTATATGAGCCCTGAGAGCCTCCCAGGGAGGGGCAAAGAGGAGGCCTTTGGAAGAGACAAGTGGGTCTTGTGAACTGGACTTGAGGAATTTCCCCAGAAGTAGCACAATGTCCCCATTATTTCCTTTCTTGAAGCCTAAACTTGCTACCCACCCTCCCAGCCCACATTCCCTCTCTCACCCACCCAGCCCCCCACTCATATTGCTGTGAGTGGTGGCTGCTTCCCAAGGCCCCACATTCCTAGCATTGACCAGGCCAGTGTCCCTGGGAAGGGCCAGGGAGTGACAGGCTCTCTCCTGTCTTTTCTGGGTCCGGCTGTGGGGCATTATTTCTCCTGAGGCCATGCTCGGCCCACCAGCTTGTTCCCTTCTGCAGATCTCTTGCAGAAGACTTTGTGCCACATCTTTGATCTGGGTGTCCAGTCTGGGCATCCACATCTGCCCACCGTTCCTCAGGGCAGCTCAGATTTTGTTATCTGATGGGCTGCAGTGGGGAGGGCAGGCAGGGCCTGTTTGTGTTCAGTAATTGAGGCCTCACCTCCTACAACCTGGAGATTAAGCCTGGAGGGGGGTAAAGGGGGATGGGTAGCCTGGAATCCCTGTTTTCTCTTTCCAAAAACATTCTGTCCTTCTACCCACTCAGAGTACAGGGTCATGCCTTAGCTCTTTCTTGGGAAGGGAGTCGTCTGTTCCTACCTGTCTAGCTTTGCCCTGAAGCTATCCTAGGAGAAGCCTGGTCAGAGAGAGGCTTTGAGAGAGTGTAGGGGCAGCCAATGGGGCCCAGATGCCTCCAGACACATTTCCCACCTGCTTCCACACAAGGGAGCCAGAATCATGAACGCTGGTGGGGAAATAAGACTTTAGGCCGATAGCTATGGGCTTTCCTCTTATTAGGGAGGGGCGGGGGGAGTAAGTTCTCTGGTGTCTCCTCTTTCCAGTTCCCCCTTGTCATCTCAGCCATTCCATCTAGTCCATTCTGTCTCAGCCTGGGGAATGCAAATCAGTCCCCTTCCTGCATGTGAGGAGCAGGGAGCCTGTGTGTGCATGTACCTACAATGGCCATAAGAATAGACCCTGTCCTCAAGGCCAGGCCACATAGGTGAACACCAGTGCCATGGGTGCCCTGCACCATGAGAAGAGCACTGTGCTTTCTTGCCCTCCCAGCCTCCCTGAGCTGAGCAGCCAGGGGCACATGTGGGGAGCTCACACTCAATGCTCGCTTCTCTGCCCCACACAGTTCCGGGGCCGTGCCAACCTGCACGTGTTTGAAGACTGGTGTGGCAGCTCCATCCAGCAGCTCAGGAGGAACCTTCACTTCCCACTGTACCCCCACGTGAGTGCCTGCACCCACCACTTCTGGCTCTCACCTCCCCCTGCCTTCTGTCTCCTGTGTCTTTCCTTTTCTAGCCATATTCTTTCCTGCATCTCCAGGGCTATCTTTTCCTCTGCCCATATTCCCCTTTATCCCCCACCAGGGATTCTTAACAGTTTCATCGTCTGCATCATTTTACTTTTAGATTCTCGTCATCATGATACACAATATAATTTACCCAGGGCCACCATGTGCAGTTGTACTGGCTGTGCACCGCACAAGGTCACCAAGACAAAGAGGCAAGTGGGAGCTGCAATCGAATCTGCACTCCCCTCACTAAGCAATAGCCCTGGTCTCTTCTGTTTCAGTCTCCTGGTCTTCCCATCAGTCCTGAGTGGACCAGTTTCCTCTTTCCTCTTCTGAGTAACAGTTTCTTTTCCCTTTTTTGGCATAGATCCGCACTACCCTGAGGAAGCTGGCTGTGTCCCCCAAATGGACCAACTATGGCCTCCGCATCTTTGGCTACCTACACCCCTTCACCGATGGTGAGGCCAGCCCCAAAGCCCCAGCCATCCTTCCTCTTGCTCCAGAATTCTTCAGGGGACCCAGACAGCATAAGCCCTTAGCTGAGAAATGGGCCTGAACTGGGCTGCCTGGACCCGTTCACCCTTAAGGAGAGGGGGGAACCCGAATCATGGTGCAGTCTCCTCCAGTTTGCCCAGGCTGCCATTTCTCTCCCTGACTTGCAGTCTGAAACTAGCTCCTCTCTCTGTGGAAATCTTCTCCATCCTTGTGCTATCTCCTAGGATGTAGAAACCCCCCCCCCCCTCACTTAGCTACAGCACTAAATGTCATCACTAAGACATGGCCAAAAGCTTCAGCCCTGCCTGCTCTCATCTGGAAACTCTTCCCCCGCTGCCCAGGGAAAATCCAGTTCGCCATTGCTGCAGATGACAATGCTGAATTCTGGCTGAGCCACGACGACCAGGTCTCAGGCCTTCAGCTGCTGGCCAGTGTGGGCAAGGTAGGGTCAGCTTAGCCCTGGAGTGCTCTCATCCCTTCCAGGATCCTGGCC